GATCTGCCTTAGAGACAGCAATACCTGGTTTATTAAAAATAAAGTACATGAATCTTGCTCATATTCTCAAATTATCAATCTAGTATCGTGCTTAGTAAAGAGGATATCATAGAATATTCTAGAAAATTAATCCCAAAATACTATTAATGACAGAAAATTCTTAACATTTAGAAAATATTTCAAATTAATAAGTTCTTAATTTTACTACCGGTACTTATGAGTCAAAAATTAGTGGTGGCAAGTAGAATTACATAGGGGCAACAATATTTTATACCACTAAATTTCTGAAATTCCCACTACTCTAGAGTAAAGGTTACAGACCAACTCAGGAATGTAAAAAGTTCAGGCCAAGATAAAACATTTAAGTTTTTTCTACATGGACAATTCCTCAAGATTTTTTGAAAAAAGGGATTAGAAATTTATTTATGGAAAGCATAAATTACCAAAAGTTATTTTAGAAAAACAGAGAAATGAAACCTTTAGGATATATAAGGAATTGTGTATTAAAGTTATTCTCACCTAAGAAAGCCAGGTTTCTGTAGTTCTCTAACATCACTTTTCTATACAAATCCTGCTGAGCAGGGTTCAGGCACTGCCACTCCTCCAGAGAGAATTCTATGGCCACATCCCTAAATGTCAACGGCCCCTGAAAAACACACACACACACACACACACACACAGATTTACAAGTGTCCATGGGTGGAATTTATTAAGTTAAGGTTAAATGAAAGAGTAAGGAAAATTGGTTCTGACTTACAGAAATGACTAAAATTATCCAACCATTTTTAACACAGAAATATTATCTAATTTATTCTCTAACTCTGAGAAAAGAGAATGGTATAAGATCCACAACACCAGTATATATAATACTTTTATGAATGATAAAGTATAAAACTAAAGGCATAAGCACAAACGTACATTTTTAGTGCTATATTGCATCACAAAGAATCAGTTGTCAATACGTTTCAGACAGAAAAAATATGTTGAATTAGAAGGCACCTTTTATGGCAGGGTGAGGTGGCTCACACCTGTAATCCCAGCACTTTGGGGACTGAGGCGGGCAGATCACAAGGTCAGGAGTTTGAGTCCAGCCTGGTCAGCATGGTGAAACCCTGTCTCTACTAAAAATAACAAAAAATTAGCAGGCATGGTGGCAGGCATCTATAGTCCCAGCTACTCGGGCAGCTGAGGCCAGAGAATTGCTTGAACCCAGCAGGTGGAGGTTGCACTAAGCCAAGATAATGCTACTGCACTCCGGGTGACACAGCAAGACTCAATCTCAGAAAAAAAAAAAAAAGAAAGGCACCTCTTACATTTTAATGTGTAAATTAAACTGGAGATCTTGTGCAATTTTTTTTTTGCAGAAGATCTAAAATAAAGTCTGAGTTGCTGAATTAGAAAAAAAAAAATTATATGTGGGGCCACTTTTACCCCAGCACCTTTCATGAACCTAGAATAGGAGATGGAAAGGCAAAGGCAAGGAAGCAAAACATAAGATTTGACACTCATTAACCAGAGAAAAAGCTAGGTGAATCACATGTGAAGCGAAGAGTGAGATTACAGACATA